GGTAATTGTATGAATTGAAAACATCGAGTGCAAATAATATTGACATAATCTTTTTTTGATATTAAAACACTCGCTAAAACGTATTCATTCGCTCATTACCAACACAAATAAATATTCAGAATTGAACGTCGATTCTTCTGCTGGATGAGAGATCTTCTCGAACGTATAAAAATGATAATGCGCCATCTAATGGGCAATACTGATGAATATGGCAAAATATGTTTGCATATGGCAAAACTTATGTTTTGCACTCACACTGATTACCACCTCATTGACAGGCGAATGCTAATCACTCAAAAATCATCAGAGACAAACGGTGAATTACTTGCCGACGAATTTAATGAGCCCTTATGATTCAGCCCGTGGCGGATAATACAGAAAGGAAGTTGAAAGGATACGAAAACGACATTGGATTGCTAATGATCGCGCGTTACATGTCACTTATTTGGATGTTTCTCATGGTGATGGGCACTTTCTGTAGCATCACTACAAAACTAATCGAGATAATCCTTCAAAAAGCAAGCAATGGTTCATGCGCTGCATAAAACTGATAAGGACTGGAACAAAAGAATTCAAAGCAAAAAATTTTTACAACTAGTAGGGAATTTGAAAGAATCTACAACAATGTGAACAAAGATCGATCCCAATCATAAGAGCACGCAAAAATTGATCGAAAGTTATATCGCTAGTAGTTGGTGCATGTGATCAGTTACAGTGTACCCAATGAGGCTGATTTTTAATCGCACTCATTCATTCAACAACAACAACAAACAAATAGCACTAGTTCAATTGGTATTCATATGAATGCAGCTCAATTATGTTCAAGAATTTTTACATTCATTCGACTGTACAAATTTCAGAATGCTTTCATTGAAAGTTTCGAGTGCGTGAGAGAGAATATCACATTTTGATTGAGTTGCGCACGAGTACAGCCATTCCAACACGCGATCAACTTCCAATCACTTCTGTCAGCTCCATCCTAATAAAAGAGTGAACATCATGATAGCAAGAGGTATTTCAAGGTATTCCAATCCACCTTCCGATATCCTAAATAATCTGCGGAAATCCTCCACTTTCGCGATCAACTCTAAAATCCACAATATNTTCCCACATTTAGGTGTCTTCTATTAGAAAATAATGCTGTGCATAGGATGAATTCATGTGCGATGGACTAGTGATTTAGTGAAATTTCCGATGCATGCTTGATTTTTGATCTTATGTTGATCCTAAGTAAATGTTACGTAATTCTTCAAGACTCATGATTTGAGTAGTCTCATGTATTTGTTCTTATCATGCAAGTTATTTATAACTCTAACAATGACTGAAGGCATGATCATTGATTACGTGCATACTGAAGAATTACAATCACAACATAGCACCAATGAGCTGCATGATGTTTGCTCATTAAACGATCAACAAAATCGGCAAAAACACTCACTGCAACCCTATCTCATCAATTGTTTCTTTCCCCATTCCAATTGTATTCGAAATTTATTCATCGCTTCTTGAACTATTCATTAATCCATTCATTTTATGCATGGTACGTCCATTCCCTTCATGTTCCAGAGCATTTTGGAAATATTTACATTTCACAATTACATTTCAGCCATCGTCTGACTAATTATCAATATTGTTACTATCATTGTCATTACCATTATTCTTGATATCATAGTTATTAGTATTATTATAGTGAGTGAATATATTTGAATTTTTTAACCAATATCTCAATGGAAAGTGTACATTTAATCTGATTGTGAATCAGGCACAGTACTGAATAGCGATATTATCGCTGAGCAAATAAGGCTGTTGTTCAGTCGGATTTCATTTCATGAAATGCTTGAATTCGTTGAAATGAATGAAAATATGCGCAATACAGTCAATTGTGACTGTTCATTAGTTGACATCATATCGAACTAAAACCGTTACAGTGATCCACTTCATGAAAGTACTGCTGGTTTGTTTAAATTTTCGATCAACGATTTCGACTTAATATTAAAGAATTGACGCATTTTCGATCAACTTAATGCCAACGCATAAAATTCACTTATTATAAATTCGGGAATATGATAGAGCTGTAGCTGAGCAATATCCAATGTGATAGAATGCTTTATGTCAGTTGCATTCACATAAAACCATGTTCGTCGATGTGATAAAATAACATTTTCAATGGAATCGAAGCATTTTCCCATCGTGCTGTTTATTTATGATTATCGCTGACAACTGAAATTCCTTTCGTTTTCCAGAGCATTTTGGAAAACGAAAGGAATTTTAGTTGTCAGCGATGATCTTAAATAAACGACAAAAATAGCATACTTCAATCGTAATTTTTTAGCTATATTCGCACAATCGAATGCATTGTTGTGTCATAATGAAGAATTTTGATCATTGTTTGAAAATTTCATATTTGAAGTGAAAGGAGAAGCGTTTATTTAATGAAAATTGAATGACCAGAAAGCCTCTCGAAGATGCCTCCAATGACCGATATTCTCATTTATTCGTCGCCTTTCTTTGCACTCATTGTGCTTCTTTACTGTTTCTATCGACTATGTTTTGGGTGTCGATCACTTGAATTCCCCGATGGATCTGGTGGTTAGCATTTTTGCCTTGTAAATTCGGAATCCACTTCATGTTTTGCAGAAGTCCTCTGTTCTCATTGCTTCTATTGGTATACGGTCCAATTGCTTATGAAAGCTCAAATTTATTCCGTCGGTTTTACGTGAATATTTCAAATCGTTGCCTTCAGCGTTTATAATTGAGTTATCACTTACTATGAAATAGGTGATAGATACATCATTTTACATTGAGTGATAATTATGAGCCAGCTTCTTGAGGGTTGTATCATTGTGAAATCAAAAGTGAAACTGGTGAATTTTGAGTTGGAGGACAGAAAGAAACAGCTTATCAGTGGTTTACGTTGTCTTATTAATATCGCTGATAAAAGCGCAATCAGTTTTTTAACATCTAATAGAGCAATTTTGTTTTTGTCAATA